ATTTCTTATTAAAATTATAAATTTTAATATAGAGAGAAAATTTCAATTTTCACTATGTTTTATTAGTAAATTTAGTCCCTGAGTCATTACTTTTGGTCGCCACTGTATATATATATATGTGAAAGAATAGCTGGTTGTCGTCATCATTCATGAAAATTTGATAATATTTACCGAGATCCCTTAAAAATCCTCGTATTACAAGTGTCAGCGGAACAACTAAAACACCTTATAAAAATTATATTAATGTTGCATAGTTGTACTTTGATTAAGAATTTCACTAAAAAAACATAAATACCAAGAAACCCACAACAATAGAATATTAGATCATGATTGTTAATTTCAAAACACATATATTACTCTTCATTTTAATCGTATATTATTTGTCATTGGTGACAATAAACGGATCTCCTCTTTGGAAAAATGAAAAATTTGATCGATTGATAGTTTTTGGTGATTCATATTCGGGTCAGTAAATTATCATTTGCTTTTATTATAATATACATGGTTGCCTAATGATAACGAATTAAATCAGATAATGGAAACGTATATAAACTTACCAATGGTTCTTGGCCACCATCATTTAATTACCAAGGACGATTCTCCAATGGAATCGTCTGGCCGGATTATTTATCGAATTCATTAAAAATTCCGTTATTTGACTATTCGTATGCGTCTGCTACCTCAGAGTAAGTCTGTTCATCTTACTGTATCTTTAAAAAAGGTTAATACTGTATCTTTAAAAAGGGTTAATAATATTAGTGTCATGGAAAATTTAAATTATGTTTCTTTTGCGTTTATTTAGTGCAACTCTCGTTCAAGGTATAAATAATGATGAAATCATAAAATGATTCTCGCAAAAATTATAGATATAGCAAAAAAAATAATGCATTTTTTGCTACTTTTTAGGATACAGTGGAAAAAATGGTGATATTAAGTTCCAGGAATAGCTCAACAGGTGCAAACCTTTGTGTCTTCAAAAGACGTTAATGCAGATTTCAGTTATTCAATTACTACGGTATTTTTTCCTTAACTATTTCATGCAATAAGTATTTTTTTCTCAAATAATAAATTCTTGCTTTCCTTGACTACAATAAAGATATGGGATAATGGCAACGATTATGCCTATTCAAATTACACCGTCGACCCTAAAGAAGTCGTATCAAGACTCGCTCGGACTTGGGAAACACTCTACAAAAGCGGTATCCGAAAATTCTTAATTCCATCGCTACCAAACATTTCCGAATTTCCAGTAAACAGGGACCCCCCCTATACAGCTATCTCAACTCGCGCTTCTCCAGTCGACTGCATTGAGCATAATAACGCACTCGACGACGCGATCGGACAATTCAAGAATGCTCACCATGATGTAAAAGTTTACGAATTTGACGTAGCTCAGTTTTTCGATTTTTTTAAGCAAAATTTAGCCGCAATGCAAAATTATTGTTTCGTAATAGAATAACATTATAAAGTATCGTTTCTTATTTACATAGAATCTAATTTAATGCAAAGTAAGACTTCAAAATGCACATGTTTAAAAATGCAATGCCAAATGCAGAATTTATTGATGCTTTTATAAAGCTTGAAAGTATAAATTCATACCATTTGGTCACAATAAATCCATCAACAACCATGCACTTTTCAATATTAACACTCCTTCTTCTTTTCTCAATATTAACTTCCCATTCATCAGGAGTGCCATCTGACATTGCTCAAAAGATGTCAATATCAGAAATGGCACAACAAACTCAATCTTCAAATACAAGCAAGGAGGTCTCTATACAACCAACAAACACAATTTTCTCTTCAAGTTACATAATAGAGTCAATTCATATTAGTACAAATAGTCCTCAATACAAAATCACCTCAACAATATCAATAAACAGTCACACTTCATCCATTACCACAAGCTCTAAAACCAAAAGTAGAAAAAATCATGATAACACTGGCAACCAGTTTCCGACCATGGCTCCAAGTCCCAGTCCTGACTTTATAAACAGTTTCGGAAAATCAGCAATTTGGGGAACGGGAGAAGGATTTACTTTGGGATTAATTTTTGGTGCTGTTATTGGAGCTGTATTAGGTTTATGTTCTATGATCTGCGTGTAGTTTACGTGTCTCTCTGCTATGTTTTTATATCGGTAACCATGATACTGTATTTTTTAATTGAACAACAATTTATAGTAACAAAAGTTCAATTACCCGAACTTTGACAGGTATGCATGTAGGGATATGTAGGGATGATGCAGCACATGAAATCCTATCACTATTTATAGCCTTTACGTTTCAAAAAAGGAAATGATGCTGTATTATAATCTGATAATCAACAAAAAAGTCGAGCATGACATGATTACGATTAAATAGCAATACCGATACATATACATGTATTAAATTTCTTTTTTAATTAAACGCTAATCGTATGATAAGAAAATTATTTTTTTCTACTCAAGGTTGGATTAAATATAAATTATTTATTTGAATTCTTTTTTGACCGTTTCGTTCGTAATTAGATTGATTTCATAAAATGTCATGGAAATCATGTCAAAATGGTAAAAGTTAGTTGTAAATATCAACATCGATTGAAAATTGAATCTAAATGTGAAATAATTTTACTTCTAGTTGCCCGAAGAATTCTCACGTCAACAAAAGATACATTACGGGTATTAAACAATCATAATCACGATAACAGCAAGTATAATCAAACCATAGCGTTTAACTCTCACCAACATCAACGAGAACAATGTAGCGTAATTTCGGATCTATCAACATCTCAAACCATGACAAAATCAAGGGCAATTTCACGAATCTACAATGATCAATTTTCACGACCTGCATTGCCAACGCCACTTTTCTCAACGCGAGGTGTGGCGTCATTAGGAAAAACACAAGGTACAAATGGTTTAATCTTCTATCTTCGAAATCTTATATTATTAATTTAATTAATATTTCATTTTTTTTTTTAGGAACTTTGGTAATTCTAGGTAACGTGAATTTATATAACAAAGATGCTGTTCTATGTAATCTATTCATTTGATTTCTCGTCTTTATTATTACTTCCCTCCTAATTTTTTATCTTCCTGTACGGGAAATCAGGTTCCGGATGGGCAGGTAGTTAACAATTTAACAACTTGAATGTGCATTCAAACATGATCACTTATTAATAAATTATTTGAAACTCGCATTATTATAGGGTTCAAATTACTTAAGGAAATCAATACCGCTGATTATAATGTAGTCGTGATCTCACCAAGGTTCGTTTCTTGTTAAGTTTGATTAACTCTTATAATTCGTCAATTAAAAATTCATTGATTTATTTTTAGAAATTACTTTGTGTTCACACCGCTTTTACCAGGTACTTCGGTCGGCACGCTGGAATTCCGATGTATTACCGAGCCTGTGAGAAAATTCGAGCCAAAAGTTGAATTTTATCAAGCCTACGCGGACACGATAGGTAAAACAAAAGCATTCTGTGAATTCGCATCAATTACTTCTAACACTTCTCTATATTGTCTCTTGCAAGATTTGGATAACCAAATAGTCAATTGTACCTCCAATCTCGAAAAGAAACGTGACAAATTCTCAATTCCTTATGACACACTTGTAATAGCCGTTGGCGCCAACTCGAACACATTCGGAATACCTGGAGTTGGTGAACACGCATTATTCTTGAAGGATGTTTCTGATGCGAGGAAAATACGACAAAGAGTGATCGAGTGTTTCGAACATGCTAGCCAACCAGGAGTATCGGAGGAAACGAAATTGGGATTGTTGCATTTCGCGGTTGTTGGCGGTGGTCCTACGGTATTTACTATTAACATCAATATTGTGCATCTTTACCCTTTTCTACGTGTTTAAACGTCAAATTTATTGTTTTTCAAATTATGCACGACTAAAACTTTAGGGCGTTGAATTTAGTGCTGAATTGTGAGCCATTTCTTCGATTTGTCCTTGCTTTCACTAAATTATAAAATTATGATATCCTTTTATCCAAACAACGGATTAGATACGATTTTATTACGGAAGATCTGAACCGCCTCTATCCGACACTGATGACAAAGGCAAATATCTTTTTTTTAACTATAAAAATTATTGACGTATCGTTATATGTTATATTTATGTTATACTTATAGGTTCGCCTAACTATATACGACATTGCACCTCAAATTCTCGGCACATTTGATATTGGACTACGTGATTATGCGACCAAAAAATTCACCAGAAAAGGAATTCAAATTCACACTAATAGGCGTGTCTTGAAGGTTACAGCTGACCATTTGGTTATTCGTGAAGAAGGAGAGGTTTGTGATAGAGAGTTAGTTAACATAATATCGAGATTTCGGAGGCTCAAACTTGATTCTTTAGGTGCCATATGGTATGATTGTTTGGGCAACTGGTAAGTTCCTCCATTTTCATTTACTTGATGTGAAAAAAATTTAACATTAATGAAATGCATTACCATAGGATTGACCGATAATCCGCTGACTAGAAGTTTAGGAGATAGAATCATGAAAGATAATTCGGCTAAACGGTAAGTTAAATCAACAATTATAGAAATTTACAAATGACATTTCGATGTTTCTTCTTTAGGCTATTAACTGATGACAAGCTACGAGTTCTTGAAAAGAATACAGGAAAACCAATAACCAATGTGTAAGCATTTTACTGTGTTAGTTTTATAAAAACAACGAAATGATATCTTCAACTTGACTTAGATACGCGATTGGAGATTGTGCGACTATTCAAAATAATGATCTCCCGCCCACAGCACAAGTCGCGAATCAGAAGGCACGGTATTTACGTAAAGGTGATAATGTTTAACGATGATATATGCATTGTCATTTTCCATAACTGTATGCTAGTAAAATTCATCGTTATTTCCAATCGAAATAGCTCTGCACGATCTTGCGAGCAACCCACAGCATGTGCCCAAGCCTTTCAAATTTAGATATCTTGGTAACTCTCGTATTTAAATAGTATTGACACAAAATTTTGGGGACGAATTAATTTAGTTTAATTTTAATTTATAGGTGTAATGGCGTATATCGGTAAAAAAGAAGGTAAATTTTCATTTAGAGATGCACATTAATTTCATTTGAATACCAAACTTGACGACTTCTTTCCACATTCTATCAAATAGCACTCGTTGACCTGACACAAGCTGTAAGCCCACAAGCCAAAGAATCTGGTGTGCTCGCTTGGTTTTTGTGGAGATCCGTATATCTTAGCTACACTATCTCGATTCGTAACAAGTTGTTGATTCCGATGTATTGGTTTTTGACGCTTGTGTTTGGTCGAGATATTAGTCGGTTTTAGGTTATAAATCTCTCTTCAATCATAGACTAAATTCTTTCTAACGTTTCGGTTATGTGAATGCCGAATAACGGGCTTAATACAACTTTTACACATTCAAATCATAAAAATTTAGCGTTTAAATCTAAAATTTCAGATACTCATATTTTATTGGAATGTTTTTGAACAATCATTCTTGCAAAAAATACTCAATAATTTTTTGCAAGGTATACAAAATTGGTTTCAGTTAGCGTTAGTGGCACTTTTGTTATCTAGAATCGAGATTTTATAAAAAAAGATCAGCAGCAGCTCAAAGTAACGTTAGCGTTAACAGTTTTTTTGAAAGCTTATCTGAAAAAAAGTTGGTCTAATAATAATGAAACATTTCATTGCTATTCTAAAATTCGCTGAAACAGGTTTTTTTATAGCACAAAACAGAACAGCCTTGCCATCAACCTTTATCTCTATATTAACCTCTATCTCTACTTCAGTTTCTGAATTAACAACCTGTAAATTATTCAATCTTGATGTTGAATTGGTTATAACATCACCCAATCTTGAAGTCTTCAAAACAACATCTATATTAACTTGTCAGATTTCTCCATAATAAAAAAAGAAAAGATGTTATTACAGTAGGAAGCTTTGTTTGAAGAATTTATAGTAAAGAGTGTGCTTTCCTTTTATATGACAGAGGATAAGTTCTATTATAGTCAAAAATCGGTTTCTGACTTTTGATATCATATTTTTATATAATAATTAAAAGTTAGAAACTGGCTTTTCATATTATATATCATTTTTATTATTTTTTTTTGTTTTTTATTCTTTTAAAATTATTAAGAACTTTAACAGAAAAAATCAATTTAATGACTTTTATAATTTTATTTTGAATTGTAATCATTAAATAAACTTTTTCTAAGCTAATCTTTAATAGAATCAAAATTGTAACTTGAATCTAAAATAAAATTCTTGGAAATATTTTATAATTAGCCAACAAGAAAATCTTTCTAATTTAATATATAATTCTCAAATACTTGAGAATTATAATTTTCTCTTATTATTAAATATCAAAAAATAAAATTGATTATATTATTAAAAATATAGATAAAACTCTTCTTCAAATATATTTAAACACATTATTATTATAAATCAAGAGATTATATCAACTTTCTCAAATAAAAATGCTAATTTTAATATTTTTTTATTATAAAATTAAAATGGATTAATTATTTACAAAACTTAAAAATAAAATAAAAGAATAATTTTTTCAATATCTCAAAATATTATAAGATATTATTATATTTAATATTGATAATAAATTTTTTATATTTGCAAATATATTTTAATTTAATTTATTTAATTTTAAGTTTATTACAGAAAAAAGATAATTTGCTAAAAATAATAATTATTTATGTAAATAAGAAATAAAATATAATAATTATATATTTTATTTAAAGCTAAATAAAATTTTTAATTATATTATTTAATATAATTATATCTTTTTAAGTATATCTTTCTTGAAATTATAATAAAAAAAATAAAAAATATATATTTAGAAAGGTTATGTATTTATAGAGATTAAAATATATAAAGTTCTTATAAGCTAAAATTAATATATCATGTATTTAAAGAGAAATTATATAGTATATATATTTAATAAGAATATATTTAGAGAGATGTAACTCTATAGCAAAAACTAGAATCTAATATAGATAATAAAATAAAAATTAAAAACTAATTTTTAATAATAAAAATTAGAAACTAACTTTTAATAATAAAAATTATTATAATAATTTGAAATTTAAAGATTTAAATTTTAGTATTTTAAGATTTTGATCAAGTTTTGAAATTAATTTTAATTAAAATTAGAATTTTGATTTATATTATTAATAAAAGTTATATTCTTTTCTTAATATTATTAAAATTTGAATATTAAAAAATATAATATTAAATTTTTCTTGAATTACTTATATATAGTTAATTAATATAAATTTTATATTTAAAAATTATTATAATTAATTAATATAATTAAAAAATTAAATATAAATATATTTTTTATAATATTTTTAATTTTAATTTTATATTATTTATTATAATTATAAATAAACTTTGATTTATTATTTTAATTTTAAATTTAATTTTATTATTAAGCTAAAATAAAATATTTATAATTATATCTGTCTATTATATATTATTAGAACTAATTGATTTTTATATAAATAAATAGAATATACAAATATATATTATTATATAATTATTAATACTAATCATATAATTAGATTACTCAAAATTTTTTTATATATTATTATTATTATATACTTATAAAATATATAAATATCACTATTATTTTATAATAAAAAATATTATATTAAGTAATAAATAATATTATTAAATCTATTTAAAAAATAAAATAATTAAGAAATAATTCAAAAAGAATTAATAAAATAATATGAACAAGACTTAATATAAAAATTGATTAAGTAATTATTTTCAGAATATTAAAATACTTATTTAAATATTTATATAATAAAATTAGCTTATTGTAAATTCATTATGAAAAAAATCTTATAATATAAAATATTTTAAACTTAAACTTATACTTTAAGAATAATATTTACACTTTTAAGATTATTATAATAATTTTGATTGGATTATCTTTCTTTAGATCTCTTTTAGTTTAGATCTTTATTTTATGCTATCCTGTATAACAAATTAGCTTTGTATTACATTTTCAAGAAGATCAGATAATCATTATATATTTAATACATCTAGATTTAATACATTATTATTCAGATGATCACTATGTATATCATAATTACAAATTTAGATTATTAATATTTTAATTAATTATTTCTTTTAATAATTTCTTATTTTCTTGCTTATTCTCTTTTATTATTATTTATATTATTATTTATTATTATTTATAATTATTATTAATTATTAAATTATAATTAGTTATCCTTTGAAGATACAAATTAAGTTAATTAATTCTGTTTAATCTATATATAATTTAAATTAGAAATTTATATTAATTTATTTGTATTTTGTATTTATTTCTTTCTTATAAATAAGATCTTTCTGTTTTATATTTTTAGTCTCAGATCTAAATACTTTTAAATAATAAAAATAATCATAAGTTATAAAATTAAAATTATTCATATTGTATTTTATCTTTTTTATAACTATTAATAAA